TTATATTTCTGCTCTTCATCTTCCTCGACTGCTTCTTCCACACCAGTCCCATTTACCACACAGTTTAGTAATGTTATCTCTTGAAGGGAAGTAGTAGATTAGGTGAAAGCAAATGAAAAGTTGTATGGTAGAAACAAATTCACATTCCGTTCTGTATTATGACATTCCTAATCTCATGATTTCCCATTATCCCAATAATTCATATTTCAATCTCATGAGAGTTAGAGCCAAGCTGTTGTTTCAATCTCTCATTGTGTCTCAAAGATGGTATGTGAAATCACTCTCTTTTTGGTGTACTGTTTTGTTGTTTCACATAAACAATTGCTTTGTTTTTTGGATAGAAGTCAGTTTAGCTTCGTTTAATCTAATTTGTGATATGATTTTTTAGTAAGTGGAAGAGATGAGAGATTACAGATTGGTTTTGTTAGTACAAATGTCAGCTGAATTGTTAAAAGATAGACTCCCTGAAGCACGAGAGGCAACTCGAAGCATTGTGTTGTTGATTTACAGTGCGGTTATGGAGGAGGAAGACGAGAGCAAAGAAGAGGAGAAACAACAGGAGAAATGGCAAAAATTTTGCTAGTCAAATTTGTCAGCCACTGATGCATTGCCCATGGCTAAACTTGTTGCATCTCAGTAGAGATTTTTGTTTTTTGGTTTTGTATGTGGTGATTCATAACAGGAAAGACCATCATCATGTTGATGAAGATGACCTTACTTGTTTAGTTTTTGCAAACTGCCTCTCATATCTGTAAAGAGGGGTTTGTTCATTAGGAACACTAGTTTCATCTGTTTCAGAAAGTTTATCAATCTTTTCATCTTATTATTGGTTTGATACCTCTCTTTTCGTAGCTCTTTTCTCCTTATTTTCTAAGTATGATTAAACCAACGAGCAAGGGGATGACGACGACACAATTAATGCAAAATGAATATTGGTTCTAGTCGTTATGAGACTTTGTTCGTGTTTATATTGATTCAGATTTTAGACTTCAGATATAAAAACAAACAGTCTAACTGATTCAAATTTTAGACTTGAGCACCACCTCTTATAAATCAAAAGTGAAACCAAATTTCAAACTTCAACAGCTCTTAAAAAACAAACGCCACCTAACTCTCATCCTCATCGGAATCCAACCTTGAAGTTAAATATATCATTATTTTTTATAAAGTTTTTTTTTTTTTTTAAAATATGTTAAAATAATAAATTTATAATTTGTTTTAATAATATAATTAATACTGAAATCGTTAAAATAGAATAATAATTAAACTTAGATGTAATTTATTTGAAAATTCCATATTCAATGGGGGTTGGTTTGCTTGTTTGGCACGTCTTTTTCGCACCCATCAAACTCTATAAATTCCCTCCCCTCTCTTTACCCACTTCTCCTTCCCTTCCCCCCCTTTCTTTCATCCCCAACGATTTCTAGGGTTCTCTGTTGGATTCATTCATTCTCGATTTCTTGCCACTAATTTATCGGTCTTCAATCGGCGAATTGCGTCCCTAACAATCAGGTACGGTGGCTCTCCCTCAATTTCCGTAAATTTTGATTGATTATGATGTACATTTCCGTTTGATTTTTGTATGTGTTTTGATTCTTCGGATTTGTGTGTTTGTTTTTACTGATGTTGTAAAATTAATGTATGGAAATTCGATGAAGATCTGATTTATTGGATTAAACAGCTCCGTTTGTTGTGTATTGATGGATTAATCAGGTACGTGATTTTGATAGGATCATTGTAATTATATTTGTAATGAGTACTGTCTATTGATGGCACATTGAAATTGAAGAGATCAATGTGTTAAAAGTAGCCGTGGACCTTGGATATAGGATTTTTGCCCAACGGGTGTCCCTTTTTAAGGTGTATCAAAGGCCACAAAAGTCGTCTGGTATGCTTTTAGCAGAATTCTACCGTTTAGACGGATCTTTTTGAAGTTTTTTGGTTGATTTCTATGGAAAGTTTTTTTTGGTTGACTTCAAGTGATTTTATGTGTGTTTTTTGATTGATGTTCACTGTATTTTCTTTTAATATCCCGTAGCACCTGTGAGAATTTAGCGGGTGTACTTTTATAGCCAAAAACTATTTTACATGTGAAAATTGGTTGAGTGGGTGCATGGACCTGCTCGGCTTTCATAGATCCGCCATTGGTTAAAAGACTAATGAGTTTGAATCTCTTACCCTTGACTAACATGCATTTGCTCGTGTCTTATATCTTTCTGATTTGAAAAATAAACAAAGGAAAAACATGGGAGATGGAAGAAACTACAAGGAAAATGCTACAAAAAAAGGCAGTACAATTCTTTTTCTGGTGTGGAAAATGAATGACTTGTTAATGCATCATAAAATTTTCATATATGTTGGATGTTTCTTCCAATTGCATTTGTTCTTCAGAAGTATTCTGTATTCATGTACCTTTTGTTGTTTCTTAGCTTTATTTGATTCAGAATGGTTTGTGGGAATATGAATATGAGCCACAATTTTTATTTGTTTTTTTTATGTTGAGTTAGTTAAAGTCCAGCTGTCTTTGTATTCAAATATAATTATTTTATGGGAAATTGATTCAATTAGCAATTTCACCCATTTAAATTTGTCTCCTAGCCATTTCTCTCACAGGTTTACCCAAATGTCATTACATCCGCAATATCCACGTGCGCGATATTGCAAACCTGGCTAAAAGACAAAAAAAAGATTCAAATTCCATCGGGTTAGCAAGTGGCACCGTTGCAATTGCGTACCTGAGTTGATTCTCATAATTTTTTGTCTTTTAGCCAGATTCATAATTTTGCGGGCTTAGTGACATTTGGGTGAACCCGGGAGAGGAATGACTAGGAAACCAATTTAAATGGATGGAATGACTATTTGAGTCAATTTCTCTTTTTTATGCTCTCCACCATGTAATTGTTTAACTGTGACTAGGCAAATAAAGTATCCCTTTTGTCTCTAGATAAATCTAATGTTTGTTTGATTATTAGTCATGGTCTTAAACCAAAAGTCAATGTTATTTGTGAAGGCAATGATTTTTATGGACAAGGACAAAATGCAATTGGAAGAAAGAACCAACGTATATGATAAATTTATGGACTAAATGCACCCTTGCATATTGCGAAATACACCTCTATCTGCTATGTAATTTTCTTCTCACATACATCAACATCAAGATTTACTTTTTACATTCTCAATGCATGATCTGACCTGATTACAACATTAAAGGGTGTGAATATAGCAACACCCGTATGAAAATTTAATGATGCATTAACAAGTCATTCATTTTCCACACCAGTTTTCTGTAACGTTTTTCTTATTGTTTCTCCCATGTTTTTCATTGGTTTTATTTTTGAAATTAGGAAGATATAAGGCACTAGAAAATGCATGTAAGACGAGGGAATGAAATTTGAACTCATTAGTCTTTTAACACATTGCTCTCTTCAATTTCACTGTGCCAGCAACAGACAAACAGTACTCAGTTACAAATATAATTAATCACAATGATGTTGTCAAAAATAAGAAAAATTTGCATAAAGGATGTGACAAAAACAAAGTTGCAGTACTTATTTTGGTGTTTTATGTCTCCCTCAATACACATGAGCAATGGGGGGTTTGTTGTGGTTGTGGAGTCACATCAAGAAAAAGGAAAAACAGTGTACATGTCATTATTGGTTTTTTTAAATATATTTGTTTCTTTAACTTATTTCTTTTTGTGGTGCTTGTGTGAATAAGTAATTGATTATATTGATCATTTTCAACTTATATATTGCATATATGATGCAAAATAAATATATGAAGTTGACTATGCAAACTGCAAGAATATGTGGAACCTCATTAGATTATTCTCCAAGAGCCCTTGAGGAGAGAAGGGAGTTTCCACATATATAGAGGAGAAATGGTTCAAGTCTAGCCGACATGGGACTCTAACAAGAACATTAACATTATTTTATTACGATGAAATAGTAGATCCATGAGAGTAACTAAATGTTTACTACTTTATAGTTTATAGGGGGCATGTCCATGTGACTAGTGTGAAGATGAGTATGAATGAAACTGTCCAAGTGGCGTATTATAGAAAAAATTAAAAGTATTGGCTCAAAATTTGAGAAACTAACAGAGTATTTAGGTATATGACCTTAAATGAGATGTTAGTTAAATCCATGATCTTCAAATGAGTATGAAGCCATTTTTTCTTTTAATAGGTCAGGAGGTCGTGGTTTAATTAAAATATCATTTAAGGTTATATACCTAAATAACTCCTTTCATTTTGTAAATGAGTAACATAGCTTTTTGAGAAGTCTATGAAAAACTTCGTGTTCGATATAACCGTCTAAAGAACATATTTTGGGTTAAATGGCATCAAAACCTTAAGATCATCAATATGGTGATTCTACAACACCAATTTTCTCATTCTCGAGAGCACTAGTGATTTTAATGAAGTTGTATGCTAATGTGATGTAAATATTTGTTTCTCTGCAGAAAACAGAATAAAATTATTGGGTTTCGAAGATCCTGTATGATTTAGAATGGTGTTTGAGGACGTTTTGTAAATGCATAGCTTCGAGAATGAGGTATGGCACACTTGGTAAATAGTACGTTTGAAAGCATAACCCCCTCTTTTGGGTTATATAGGTGAATAACTACCTAACAGTTTCTACTTTTTTTTGAATGTACGACCTTCTGACAGATTTTGAGGCATTCTTGTCATCTTTTATTAGACAAAGTCAAATCTTAAATCTGTCAAAAGATCGTGCATTTAAAATAAAAATCCATGAGAATGTTTTTATTCTAAATAACCTTATAAATGTATTAGTTACTCATTAAGCACATGAATGCTTTCTTTCAGATCTCAGGAGTTAGCTTCTTCACAATGGACTGCTCACCTGGCACTAGTGATAAGAAAACGTTGAAAAGGTGGTTTTTTATCGACAAAAGAGTTGGGTAAATAGTGACTTAACGGTTTTCTCAAACACCAAGCCCGCAAAATTGGTTGTCTAGCTCCTAAAATTCTTAAAATGGATTTGAGCTCGGCGAATGCTTCTCCTGTTCTTGCTGATCCCGCTCTTATAAATCAGACAAGGTTGGGTTTCCATTCCAGTGTGTTTACTCGCTCATCAGGCACTTCATTCTCCTTGATTCCAAAAAAGAAGCCTGGCAAATTTGATGATGTACTCTCAAATGGTTGGCTTGATGCCATGCAATCTTCTTCACCTCCTAGTAAGAAGATGCTTAAAGATGTCGGGGTTGAGCTTGCTTCTGATGACAATGATCTTGTTTATTATTCTTGGATGGTATGCCTTATGTCCATTCCTAGTGATCAAATTTTTAATTGATCATACTTGGCCTTCTGATGCAAATTGACGGAGATAGCCGCTCTATTCTTTAGGGTAGAGATCAGGTCTTAATACGTCTTACCCACATCCATCCCGCCCAGATCCAGGGTAGATTATACCGGGCTCGTTTTGTTTGGATACACTTGGCCTTTTGATGCAAATTGATCATTGTACTTGTGAAAATGCCAAGTACTTTTGTCCAAAATGGTTCACTACAACAAAATCGGGTTTATAGGATGACATAAGTGTTTAATTGTCTTAATAGATTACTTTATCGGACCAAACTGCTTTGTGTCCTAACTAAAGAGTGTTGGAGTAAGTTTATACAACACTTTTGGGGGTTTTATCAAGCTTTTTAGGACACATTCGAAACAAGTTCTCCTATTAGCCCTTTTGTAGGACACTTTTGAGAAGTGAAGTGTCCTATAAACATATCTTTATAGGACATTTATTCAATTAGTATCATATAAAAGGGCTAATAGGACACTTAGTTTAAAAAAAGTTATAAAAAGCTTGTTAAGACGCCCAAGAGTGTCGTATTAACTTAATACAACACTCTTAGATGGGATATAAAGTGTTTGGTCCTATAAACTTAAGTCTTATAAAGTAATCTATTAGGACACTCGGACATCTTCGTTGTCCAATAAACCCGATTTTATTGTAGTGGTTGTTTCTTTTCTTACATTTTTGCAAGAATGATGACATGTTCGCAACAAAAAACTTTGAGCATCTCCAACATGTATGTTATATTTTTTTCTCTCTTCTTCTAAATTTGTAAAATTCTCCATTCTCTCTCCTTTTTTTCTATTTCATAGGAGAGTTTAGCATAGCTGTTGGAGCAAAAATTTCCCAAATTTCTAAAATAGCATAGCTGTTGGAGATGCTCTTATATATGATGGACTGAAAAGCCAATCACTTTATCCAATAGTAATGCTATTGGTATTTGTTGCCCGTTACTAATTTTTCCTTTTCTTTTGTAACTTGAAGCTCAAGTATCCATCGGCCATCAAGTCTTTTGATCGTATTATAAATCGTGCAAATAATAAAGAGGTAGTGATATTCTTAGATTATGATGGTACGCTCTCACCGATAGTAGATGATCCCAATCGTGCTTTTATGTCAAACGATGTAAGTAACACCTTCCAATTTTCCGATTCCTTTCTTTATGACCCCCAAAAAGGTTCTAACACACTTCCTTTATTTTAAAGATGCGTTCTGCTGTTAAAGGCGTTGCAAAGTACTTTTCCACGGCGATCATCAGTGGAAGAAGCCGCGATAAGGTATCACAAGAAAGTTAAAGAATCATTAACCCTTTTTAAAAGGGCACTTGACTTTTTGTTGTAAATGCATTGTCATTTTTATGAAAAAATGTTTGGTTTTTTGTGCATTTGTATTTCCACTATTTATCCAAATTGTTCATTCTTACAAGTAGAGATGCACAAAAAGCCCAAACCTGAAGCCTGGCCAGGAAAGGCGGACCCACTTGGTGCGTACAATGGCACGGCCACGCTTGATTCCTTCGTTATATTGTAAAAACTTTTAGGAGCGTGAAAGGTGCCACAGTACTATTTTGTTGGGTGCAATCATATACTTTTTGAAACTGTATTAATAACACAAGTTTTTTTTGGTAGAGTTTGTTTGCTTGGTCTTACTCCCTTCTAGGCGTGTTTTCGAATCCCATTTGTATCATTTTCTTGGTTTGTAGGCTTTTAGCTTTTAATTTCAGGTTTATTAATGCTTCTGAAAGTTTCTGAGATAAAAGACTCAAAACACATGACCTCACAGAGAAAAAACAAGGAACTAACCAACAGATTGATTTTTTAAAAAGCATCCTTGCTTCATTTTTTTATAGTCAAATGGTGTCACCACTTGGAAAAAAGTTCTTGGTCGGCCTCTACCAGGGTTGGGACCAAAAAAATCCAGGCCAGACCCGCCCTTATATCCGATCAGGCCAACTTTTTTTCAGGGCCTGAAAAGGCCGGTTAAGCCCAAAAAACCCCGGGTTTTGTGCATCTCTACTTACAAGACTGATGATTTGTGTACAACAAAAGCAAACATAATAGTTGAAAAGATTGGTTACTCTATATTTAAAGAAAATAGATAACTCGATGCTATAAAAGTCTTACATTTTTCATCTTAAACATGTTTGTTCAGGTTTACGAGTTAGTAGGACTAACGGAACTCTTTTACGCTGGTAGTCATGGTATGGACATCATGTTCCCTGCCAAGAACACACTGTCTATCAACCATACAAACTATATTAGGTCTACTGACAAGCAGGTATTATATTGAACCGGAGTTCCTTTTCTCGTATAAGTTTTACCTCATATTTGACTTAAAAGGTTGATTACCTGCAAACGTGACTGTCCCCACATGGAACCCGTTCATTGGGAACCACATGTGAGGAGGCGGTTCAGAGCTCGCTCAGCAGCTGAGGCTAGCAGAGGGGTTTAAGTCTTTCTCCCACATGATTCAAACTTGAACGTTTTGTGTATTTGAGCAAAAGTCGTTCCACTCCTTTTCCTTATTGGTCGAGTGACGTGTATGTTTCTTGTGCAGGGAAAGGAAGTAAATTTCTTCCAGCCTGCTAGAGAGTTTATACCAATGATTGATGAGGTATGTCATACTTGCATCTTTGCTGATTTATGCTTGATACGAGAACATGTTCATTAGAAAATTCTAAAAAACCAAAGCCAACTAACCCCACACAAATTGGGGTTTGGGGTTAGGATGTATGTAGACATTACCTCTGCCCCTGAAGGGTAGAAGGGTAGAAAGATTGTTTCCGTTTTCTTTTCCAGTTATACCCCTTATATCTTTCCAAGTAATATTTCATTATGTTCTTTTAGATAATTTCATTGTCATTTAGTTATTACCAAACATGACTAGTTTTTCAGTTAGCTTATCAACTAACAAGTAGCTTATTAGCCAAAAGCTAGATTATTGGCTAACAACTAGTTTATCAGTTAAATTGTCAAACATAGCTTAAAGCACTCACAGACAATAAATAAGATATGGACCCACTAAACTAACTAAGGACGAAGTAGCAAAGAACGGTGAAAGAAATGAGTATATGCTTGATATGCACAATTTTTTATTACCAAATGCTAACAGATTTCGACTTCGCATAGGTTTATAGGACCCTTGTTGAGGTGACGAAGGATATCCCAGGGGCACTTGTGGAAAATCACAAATTCTGTACTTCTGTACATTACCGTAATGTAGATGAGAAGGTAAGAAACCAGTTGGTTTTGCATTTTGCTTACAATTGATGTCTTGAAAGTTATCCTTGTTTGAAAGATTATACTTTGTACGTGTCGCAGAGTTGGCCTACAATCGCACAATGTGTCCATGATGTCTTGAAAGATTATCCTCGTTTAAAATTAACTCATGGGCGGAAGGTAATATAAGAACATCGAGTTTTATATGAATTTGTCATTTTGAAAACTCGTGTGTGATTATAATTTATGGGGTTTAAGATCCGCAAGAACCGTATATGCATATCGGTCATATGCATATAGGATTATAGGGTCAAGTTCGGGGGAAAATCGAAAGAAAATGAAAAGCTGAAGAACACCTTAGTTACGATTCATCTGTATTGTATGCACAATTTGTTGGGAATGCACATGTGCATAGAAACCAAAAAACAACTTCAATTACTTGTATGCATATGTGCATATCGTACGGATGAATGGTTATTAGGTTGTTCCTCAGTTTTCATTTTTTTGGGGTTTTTTTCCCAGAATCTCCCTCTATAGATATGTATATATGTATATGCATTGATGCATAAACCTGAAAGTTCGATTTCTTTGTAGGTTTTAGAGGTCCGTCCTGTGATTGATTGGGATAAGGGGAAAGCCGTTGAGTTTCTACTTGAATCATTAGGTATGATATGATTTTTTTATCAGGCGAAATGCATCAAACTGCAACGAAGTTTGATTTAATGTAACAAATAATTCTTTTTCACAAATAATGCAACAAAGTTTCAAAGTTTTCCTTTTTTTGTACTCATTTTGACTGTTAACATGCTATCTTGTATCATTTGGTTATACCAATTACGAAAGGTTTACTAAAGGGTTACGACAAATGGGACGATAAACTTGACAAACATGTCAACAAATGTTACAATATCAGTAGGTTACCAGTCAAAATGAGTATAAAACATAAAATACTTTATTGCATTGATCGAGAAAAAAATTATTTCGTTATATTAAATAAGAATTAAGGAAAATCCGTTGTATTTTGATGATTTTTGCCTTTATCTATTTATTTATATTTTCACGGTTTCTCGAGAGTATTTAATTTTGTTTTTTTTCCGTTCTATACAATGTTGTAAAATCAAAACAGGGCTAAGCAACAATGATGACGTGCTTCCAATTTATATCGGAGATGATAGAACAGATGAAGATGCATTCAAGGTATGATTTTATCAAAATAAGTATCTATGTTACTATTTTTAGTTTATCCCAAAATCAGTGTCCACTTTCAAAAGTAAATGTCTACCCTTAATTTGAAACAAAGAAAGTTTCTCTTTTTATAATTAAGGGTAAAATCGTCCTTTTGTTAATTAAAGAGCATAATAATTACACATGTCTAAAACTGTGTGCATTTTCCATTGTGGACATTAATTTGTGATAGAGTAATTAATTGTTTCGATAATCTTTTTTAATCAAGTCATTGATCGTATTCTCATTTTTCCGTTAGGTTTTGAGAGAGAAAAATCGAGGTTATGGAATTCTGGTATCTTCCGTTCCCAAAGAAAGCAAAGCTTTCTTGTCCCTTCGTGACCCTTCGGAGGTCAAAGACTTCCTTAAATCTCTGATTAAATGGAAAGAACACATATCTGGTACTGATAAACGATCAAAAGAAGCAGTAAAGCATACATCACCGCAATTCGTCTTTGGTGGATTTTGAGTTTGAAGAGTAGTTTGGTAAATAAGCCAAGGTCGAGCTCGAGGCCCGTGGGAACTGCAGGCCGAGCTGGCAACTTTTTGTTTCGGTGTTATTTCGAGTTTTTTTAAATTATGCTGTTGATTATTGGTTGTTATTTGTTTGACTCATGGTATGAATCCTTTTGGATTTTATTTGTCTTGAGTTTTGGTATTTGAAAGAAACATTTGTTGTTTTAAGACATGTATTTCATTGGCCTAACGGTATCTGATTGTTATGAATAAAGCCTAATTTTTCTAAAGGTCAAGAGCTTAGGTTTTACCAAAGCTGAGGAGTGTGTGTTAGAGATGGCTAAAAATCATTTCTATGTTGGTCCCAAATCGATCCCTTCGAAACCGGGCAACCAAAAATCTTAGGAGTTGTTTGTTTACCTCTTAATAGTTTCATTAAGAGACAGTCTTTCAATCTTTAAGTGGTCAATCTTGTTTGACAAAAAAAAGTTAATTGGTTCTAAAATCCTTCGAATGGTTTTGTATGCTGAGTCTCCCTTAACCATTCAGTGTTCTAATTTCATTGTAAACAATTACCAAACAATTATATTCCATTTTGTACTTTTTGGTCAAAGAAGGGGGGATCGCCCCCCATAGTCAAACCTTTACCCCGGGGGCGATCCGTGTGGAATTTTCGCAATTTTGGTAAAAATTGACTATTTCGTTAATATATCAGGTATATATTGGTCGTTTTGGTGATTTTCCCACTAATAAATAGTCCATTAGGACCAATATGGGCCTGGTCTTGGGCTGAGGCAGGATAAAAAATCTTTTTTACAAAAAATTGTTATACATGTTTTTATAATTATAATTTTTGAAATTCAGTTTTCAAATACACTTTAAATATATAAAATCTTGAAAAACTTAAAAGAACTTAAAAAACTTGTATTATAATTTATAAAAGCTTTTCTTTTGTGGGAAAATTGGACCTATACATAACTGGTACAGGACTGTCGGGTCAAAACCTGTTCCTACTCGTCCTAGTTGGTCCTGCGTTGGCATTGGCCTAATTTAGCATCTTTAATGTGTGTGAATATTTGTCGTATATAAATATTATATATATTTGAAAGAAGATACGTAACTGTTGCCATAAGTTTGTTTAGCTTTGACCGCTCAAGATTTTTTTTGACTTGATACAGAGAGAATTGTGAGTAAACCGGTTTCACGACCATCAATGGAAGTTAAATTGCAATGTTCTAGAACAAAATCGGTAGGATCCGTTTTAAACCTGTTATCTTATAGAAAATCGAGTAAGAACATGTTTTAAGGATGTTTTCTTAGTCATCCGACCATTTTATGCATCTTGATTTCGTGTTATTCACAAATAATATTAATTTTGAAGTTAAAAATAAATACAACAATTTAACATGACGAATTTATAATTATCTATCGATGTTATCATCGAATTCATTGTGTTTCGAATATATAAAATACGTGATATAATAAACGTTATTTTTCTATAGTTACGACATCTATTCTTAAAATTTCGGAAGCATAAGAACGAAAGTTTCAATTTTTAACAAACCATAGGAACGAAAATGTAATTTAATCGTGTAATAATTACAATTACAATTATAATTATAATTAAGTTTTTAATTTTTGTTTTTTATTAATTTAATATTGTCGTTGGATAGAGTTCGAACTTTGGCGGATAAAACGAGGTTACCGGTTACATCAAACCAAACCTCGACTAAGGATAAGATGAAAAGGCCTTAATTTTTATATTTAAAAAATGACAATAAATATTGCAAAATATTTTTATAAAAAAACCGTAAATATTTTAATAGATATGATAATCAATTATACATTATCAACAATCGTAGGGCTGTTTACTAAATATTTATTTAAATAAATACTTATTAAATCATATAATTTTATCGGATGAATATAATAATTATCAACAACTTATTTAAAAGAACGAAATAAGAATAAATTTTTTTTATCCAATAAATAAAGACTGATGATTCTTACCATAAGTGTTTATTAAATAAATTGTTGCTTACCCGATATATAAATATAAACGATAGCAATAAATTTAATTGAAAAAAATGGAGGATGTATAAAACCTTCCCCATCATCTTCCCCAAAATTCACACTCACTCTCTCTTTCACCTGCAAATCGGAAATGGCAACAGCTTCATTCCACGCTCCTTCACTCTCCTCTTCCTCTGCTCTTCTTCTGGTATCCCCAATTTCATCTATTCAACAGATTCTTTCAATTTTTACTACTAATTTACCTCTTGATCCATCACCAACAGGATAAAAAAAGCTCAAGGTTCCAAGTTCGATCCCTACACCCGATCGCTTCTTTCAAATCTCACAGATCATATGGTCAAATCCGAGCCTCCTTCACTGATTTCTCTGCTTCTCCCAATACTGGTAGATCGAATTTGAGTTTTGTTTGTTTAATGTATTGTAGGTTTGATTAACTTATTGATGTATTTAATTTGCAGGTGGAAGGACTGAATTAGATGCTTTGTCACGATATAGCGAAGTTGTACCGGATACTGTTGTCTTCGATGATTTCGAGAGGTTTTGTAGATGAATCATTTTGCTTGGTTGATACAGTGATTTTATTCGGAATTTGCAGGTTTTGTTTACGTTATAAAAGATCTTTTTTACTTTTAAAACTATATGTAGGTTTCCTCCAACTGCTGCCACTGTTAGTTCATCTCTTCTACTGGGAATTTGCAGCCTCCCTGATACAACTTTTAAGGTTAGAAGAATGTATATCTAGAATCTGGTTATATCTCTACGTTAGGACATGTTTGTTAGCAGCTTAATGGGATTCACATCTGATTCGATCAGCTATTCATGATTGTTTGACAGCGGCTTAATGATATAGAAAGTAGTAAGCGGAGCTTTACGCAGAAAGCCAAAATTTTCCAAACCTGACCCTCTCAATTGAAAAAGCACGGTCCCTTCCATGAAAGAACTCTCCCAAACAAAAACCTTTTACAATCAATACAGACGGAATAATCCCTACAGACAGATTTTATGATTTTATCCATACAAAAATTAATGGAAAACCAACCAAACAGCCCCTTACTTGCTTTGATATATACAAATGTCTCCCAATGATTACAAAAAGTCTGATGGTTCATGGTGATTGATGGTGATATACAAACAACAAGTTCTTTTATCCCAAAAAGATGTTGGTAGGCAAAAAATGAATTAAAAAACTACATAAAAATGGTGAAACTAAAAAAGATGGGGGAGAAAAGATTTTGTGCTTGTGTATATTACGGGTTTGAGTAGACATTGTCGAGTTAGTAAGGTTTCTATGGATTACATTTTGGCTGTAGGGTGCTGTGGATACTGCATTGGCAGATAAGGAGTGTTATGGTGTAGAGACCCCAAATGCTCGAATGACATGTTTCGTGAATAAGGTATATCTTTTGTCTGTAGCTAGTGGCATCTATACAGTTGGTTACTCTACCTGTTGATCATTTTTAACGGTTAAATGACAAATAACAGGCTTTAGTAAATGTTGGTGCTGAGCTATCAAGGCTAGTGCCTGGCCGTGTTTCAACTGAAGTAGATGCTCGCCTTGCATATGATACACATGCCATTGTTGCGAAGGTATAGTAATGGTTGTCATTTGAACTCCTTAGTCCTTATATCACATATATACTTTCTAATTCTGTGTTTACTTTGCGTTGCTGTTGTAATGGTCATATCTTACTTCCTTCGTCCCAAAATAAGTGCCCACTTCCAATTCTACCCTTGATTATGAGATGGAAAAATTCATCACTCCTATTATTAAGGGTAAAATTGTCATTTAGATGATTAAAAAGTGTACTAATTACACACCTATAGAACTATGTGCCTTTTTCATTGCGGGTAGATATGTTGGGATGGAGTGCGCAGATTGCTAATGATTTTTCAAACAACGCAAGGGGGGGGGGGAGGACCTGAAGGATTTTTTATATCCATGCTAATTACTAGCATTTAGACTATCCAGGCTCTTTTGTAGCTCAACTACTACAACTTATTTCTTTGATTTGATATATTCAAGACGACATGATTCTTATCGCTGCTGGATCACTCATTTGTGGATATATCATCGTATAAATATATTTTGGTTGTATTGCAAGCACCTTTAATCATTATCTGCTAATTGTTTGTTGTTTTGAACATCCAAACATAACCATTTGATTGATCTTATCTTCAAACATACTAAATTTGGCTTCAAGGCATATATATATTTCTGTTCATGCAAGTGAGGTGTAAACATGATGTAAGGTTTATTTATTTGAGGCTATGTGAGAGTTATGAAGACAGTATTTGAAGTGGCTAATTGCCGTAGAATATAAACAGAACATCGACACTCTTACATCAGAAAATGGATCACCATGAATGCAACATATTGAAAATATTTTCTTCCAAAAGGAATACAAATTTTATGAGCGGCTACTTTAGATCTTGTCGTCATAATGCAAATGTAATTGGCTTTTTGTACTCTCTATATATATAACTAACATCTACATATGGGAATGTCAAGGTTTACTATCTTACCCTTTACTTTTGATCTGGGCTACACTAATATGCATAGTTTATAATTCTACTGTGGCATGCAGGTGCAAGACCTATTACAATTATACAATAGCATTGACATCCCTGCAGAGCGTTTATTATTCAAAATCCCCTCAACTTGGCAAGTAAGTACGCACTAAGGGGGTGCTTGGCTGGTGGAAATAGGGGGTACGGAATGAAACTTAAAATCATTAACAGTGTCTGGTTTGATGCAATGAAAAGGTCATTACCAGATACGGGGTAATGAAGCATTCCTCAAACACATTGGAGGGAATGAGATTCATTCCCATTTCCATTCCCCAACATTCCTATTCCCATTTCTATTCCTTGCAATGAACCAAGCGCCCCCTAGGATATTATGTTTCGATGTTATTGGAGAATTTTTTTTAGTGTGTACAAGCTAATCGTTCTCATTAGGGAATTGAGGCAGCAAGAATCTTGGAATCTGAGGGTATACAGACACATATGACTTTTGTGTATAGGTATGTGTGCTATGACAAAATTGTTGAAGATATTATCTCTCTCTGGTTAGTATGCAGTGTACTGCCATTTATAATCATCGTTGTGCTACCTTTGAAAGATATAATGTTTATATACGGAAAACTTTACATATGTCTTTATCTATGTAGAAAATAGTGTTTTGATTTCATGGGAAAGCTACTAAAAGTGTAAATTAAGTGGCTTCTATTATGTTGTTCACTATAAAGCAGTCTATTAGGACATTTAGATATATTTGGTGTCTTATAATGCCGATTTTGTTATAGTGGTAGTGACATTTTGTTCTTATTTGGGTTCCGAAAGTGGTCTTTGAATTCAATACCAGCAAGCACACGATAAGAGGTACCTGCATACGACAGTATCCTTGATAAAATAGACGAAGTGCCTTCTTGGATATCATTCAAGTGTTTTAGTGCTATAAACTGATGTCAAAAGCTTGTAATTGAATTGATACGTGAAGGAATTCACTCCAATGGCATTCGAGAGGACATGGTCTCTCCAGAGCAAAGCTCGTATTACAACTGAATTGAAGAAAACAGAATGACCCCAAACAGGAAGCTTCCCGCCCACAAAAAGGCTCCCACACACTAGACAAAAGGAAAACCCGAAAATACCCCTAAGGACTTATTCAAAACAGAAAATAWGKAATTMCWTATTTTCTGTTTTGAATAAGTCCTTAGGGGTATTTTCGGGTTTTCCTTTTGTCTAGTGTGTGGGAGCCTTTTTGTGGGCGGGAAGCTTCCTGTTTGGGGTCATTCTGTTTTCTTCAATTCAGTTGTAATACGAGCTTTGCTCTGGAGAGACCATGTCCTCTCGAATGCCATTGGAGTGAATTCCTTCACGTATCAATTCAATTACAAGCTTTTGACATCAGTTTATAGCATTTAGTTATTCTGATCTCAAGTTTCTGTTTCTATAATTCCATGGTCTTGATGATTTGTACATTCTGTTTTGGGTGAAAAATGGAAGAACAAGAAAGTAGGTCTGAAGATGCGTACCACATGATCCTATTGCTGAATTATTGACTACCTTATTCTTCTTCAGCTTTTGTCAGGCTGCAGCTGCTGCTCAGGCTGGTGCTTCCGTTATTCAAATTTTTGTTGGTCGCCTTAGGGTATATTACTCTTCACTTTTCTTGTTTTATCGTTATTTTCAAATTTCAATGTGGTAAAGGGCAACCCAAGTGTTACTCGGACAAGTCTTTGCACCCAACATCTCCTTTCTGTCCTTGCAAAAAAGTTTTTTCCTTGATTCGTATCTGTAGCCTTCAAGTCCCCGCAGCTTTAGCCTAGCGGGTAAGGAGGTGGGCATCCTTGCAGAATGAGTGGGAGGTCAGGGGTTCGACTCCAGGCACCACCCACCTGCCCAGAGGTGGATCCAGAAAAAATTTCAAATGGGGCCAAATTAAATAAGATAATATAAAATAAAGCCAAAATTAATTGTAAAGAGTACATTCTAATTAAAAATGACATACAAGTGGTTTTTTCCATCACCCAAGTGGTTTTTTCCTTCTTTTTGTTTGCTATCACTACAAAATTAATAAAAAGAGTTAAAGGGATTCGAACATGGATGATGGAACATATATAATTACATGCAATTACAGTATTGGTAAGCTGACACCATTTATTAAGGGAAGCAACATCGAATTAAAGTGGGTACACCCTTATGACCCCTGAAAATTTCCAATTGAGTTAGGACGATAGAGCGGGGGCACAGGCACCCCCTAGATTATTACTGAATCAGCCCCTTCACCTGCCGTTGGGACACACCATTTACCACCTCCATGTTGGCCATGGGACCGGTACAGTGGGGCGCTCCAAAGGATGGCGTAATACCCTTTTCTTTTTGCAGAATTCATAGCCTTCAGCCACAAGCTCACCCCAATTTTGCACATTGTCAGGATTGGGCACGCAACCACAGTGGTGATCCTGAGATTGAAGCCGCCCTTAAAAGAGGAGAAGATCCGGGATTGGCTTTGGTTAGTCTTAGAACTCGATTATTCTTTGTACTTACACTTGAGATGGTGGTTTCAGACTGATGCATTCTTTTCTTTCAGGTGACAAAAGCTTACAATTATATTCACAAATACGGGCATAAATCGAAATTGATGGTTGCCTCAATCCGAAACAAGCAAGACGTGTTCAATGTTTTAGGGTACATGCTATTTTCTTAATCGTTTAATATTATGTGTTTTAGTACAGTCCAAACTGGTCTGTCCTAGCGGCTAGCAGTAAGGTGTGGGTGTAATCCATGTGTGAGGTCCTGGGTTCAAGCCTGGGCACTGCTCCAACGTCAATGGGATGCATGCGCGGTTTACCTCGCCATGACGACTGTGGGACCCGTGCAGTGGGGGCGCTCCGGAGGGGGGCGAATACCCTTTTTCTTTGTGTGTTGTTGTCTTAGCAGTAGAAGTGCGGGTGTAATCCATATGTGTGAGAACCTGGGTTCAAGATCAAGCACCGAATCTCTGCCAATGGGGTGCATGCGGGATTTACCTCCCCCATGATGACTGTGGGACCTGTGCGGTGGGGGAGCTCTAGAGGGTGGCGAATACCCTTTTCTTACGTGTGCGTCTGTCTTAGTGGTAGAGGTGTGGGTGTAATCCATATGTTTGAGAACCTGGATTCAAGATCAAGCACCGATTCTTTGGGGACGCATGCGGGATTACCTCCCCCATGATGAGTGTGGGGGCGCTCCAGAGGGTGGCGAATACCCTTTTATTTAAAGTCTAGACCAACAAATAATCAGTGGATACTACTAATAATAATGCAGGGTTGATTATATCATCACTCCGTTGAAGATATTGCAAGCTCTTAAAGAATCTGTGACTCCTGATGATGAGAAATATACATTTGTCAAAAGATTATCCTCACAATCAGCTACTGCTTATAACTTCACTGATGAAGAGGTATGCTCTTGTTGCAAACTAACCATTAATTTAAAAATGACAAAACTAACCTTATGGTATGCAAATAATAAATGATTTATGCCTTGCATCTAGTGATGGAAATTTTACCCGTTGGCATGGGTACCGGTGGGGATTCCCCACTTTGGCTGGTAATGGGGCGGGACAGGGGTTTATTTTCATATCCAAAGCGGGAATGGGGATTGCACTACCCGGCTACCCGCTAGGGATGGAAACCGGACGGATGTTGGACGTGTTTGGGGAAAGGAGTTCCTGACGGGTTCGGGGAACCCGTTAGGTACCCATTCAAAAGGAAAAACAATAAAAACAATGTATTTTAAAATTAAAATTACAGTGAATCACCACTACACTAATTACCAATATTCAAAATCAAATATATTCATCATTTAATAATAAATGTATAATTAAACATATATATTTATTTATACACACACTATATACATATATTAAATTAAATAAAAAAATCAATCGGGGTCGGATTAGGGGCGGGTAATGTCATCCCGCCACAAACCCGATTTTGGTGAGAAAATAAATCCGCGTCCCTGCCTTGTTAGCCGCCAAAACGGGAAATCCCTGCCCCATTAGGATCGGGTATCCGTGGGTACCTGCCCCTACGGGTAAAATTTCCATCTCTACTACCCGTCCCTATTCCAACCCTGATCAACTTTTTTATTTTGTTAAAGATATGTATATATGTGTGTATAGGCAAAAGATCGTGTGAGAAGGGAAGTTATGATGAGAAGCGTAAGAAGAGATATGAACCTTTTATCACTTTTAATCTCATGCCCGCCCATGAATTACGCTTTAGAAGGGAATTGATCAGTGCACCTCATTAGTGTTGAAATTCAATTATGATTGATCCAAGGGTGGAGATTTCTTCTTACGCTTCTCACCATAACTTCTCTTATACCGAACCCACCCTGTGTGTGTATATATATTTATTTATTTATTCATATATATCTATATTAATGTTATATAAATATTGGTAATTAATTTAGTGATGATTTATTTTAATTTTAATTTTAATTTTGAAATACATTATTGTTTATGTTGTTTTACTTTATGGGTACCCAATGGGTTCTCCAAACCTGTCGGGAATTCCCCAAACCCGTCAGGGATTAGTCGGGGCGTGGGATGGGGGATTAAACGGGGATCGGGGATGTATTACCTGTCCCGTTTCCATCCTCAGTTGCATCCAAAGATGCACAAGGCTCGGGCTTTTTCAGGCTTGGAACCGGGCCTCCTAAGCCCGTTTTCTGTAAAGCGAAAAAAGTCCGAGCTTCTTCAGGACCGGGCCAGGCTTTGGGGTTAAAAGAACGTTCTACTTTCGAATGAGATATACTAGGTTGGTTTGGTTTGGTTTGGTTTATCTGCAACTATTGAACCTATCTAACCTTTCTCTTCCATCTGCAGTTGGTGAAGTGGGACCAACTTAGCTTTGCTTCGGCAATGGGGCCCGCAGCGTTGGAACTTCTGACGTCTGGAATGGACGGTTATTCCAACCAAGCAAAGAGGGTCGAGGACTTATTCGGAAAGATATGGCCACCACCAAACGTTTGAGCAAACGTTTCTGAACTCAATCTCGTTATCTTGTTTGTAATCCTCGTTTGAAAGCAACAACGTTGCTATGTTACTTGCATAACTCTTTCGACATCCATGTTTTCGCTGATGATAAATGAGAAGATACATTGTTGTACGGTTAGACCATGTTCTTGCTTACTCGATTGTCGGGCTTCTAGTGTTTCCAATGTCGAGTCAAGTTCTGAATGAGCTTGTATCGAGTAGAAAAAGGGGCTGTTTGGTTGGTTTTCCGTTAAGTCTTGTATGGTTAAAGTGGATTAATTTGTTTGTATGGATTGAAAAAGTTTTTGTTTTGAAAAGTTTTTTTTATAGATTGGAAGGCACATGTTCTGTAGTTAGGAGGGTCAGGTTTGTAAAAAATTGTCTTTCTACATAAAGCTCTCCCCTATAAACTTACTGAATACGACATTTCTATATTATTAAGCCAAACAGTCATGTATAGTTCATCGAAGAAGATGTGAGTCTTATTCGGTAAAGATCATGCTCCTTCCATCTATTCAGTAAGCTTTTAGAAGGGAGCTTTATGCAGAAAACCAAGTTTTTTCTGAACTTGTCCCTTCCCAGTAAAGAACATGTTCTTCCATTTATGAAAATACTCTCCCAAAAACGAACACTTCCCAATCTATACGGATATATTAATCCATGAGACAACTTTATCCATACATGACTTAAAGAAAAACCAACCAAATAACCCGTAAATCGTTTTCTATATCATTAAGTCACTATCAAATAGTCATGTATAACTTACTAAATAAACTATAATAAGTTCCATTAAATTCATTAAGCTACTAATAAACATGTATTTACTGAATAAACCACTTTCTATATTATTAAGTTACTATCAAACAGTTATGTATTGCTAACCGAATAAACTGAGAGTTCCACTAAGTTCATTAAGCTGCCAACAAACAAATCCCAAGTAAATATAATCATAATATTAAAGAAAACATCGATTATTACAAGATTAGTAAGAGCTTTAATTAAAAAGATTAAATATCATAAATAAGGAAGGGAAGATTTATATGTAAATTATAAAAAAAAATCTATTTAGAAAATGCATATGTGAACCCATATGAATAATCTGTAATGTTGTTCAAATATACATCTTCAAGTAGATTCTTTTTACAATAATTCACATATGAATAATATGTTCTAACCTTCCCATGTTTATTTAAACCGACCCCTAAGAGATTATGACATATAAATTGGTAATTGCTGTAAAATACAGCAACAGAACGATCAATTTTGATTCAATTATGTGTTCTAATTAGTATTCAACAACGAAAACCATATAAATATAACCCTGAACGATATGACGTATTTGTCTATTTTTAAATAAAGTAAACTACAAATTTGGTCTCCGTGGTTCGTCGAAAATAGCATTTTTTCTTTCTACAGTTTCAAAATTACAATATAGTCATCGTAATTTGTAAAAACGTCTGGATTTGATCCTTTCCTCTAATGTTCGTTGAATGAGGGGCATTTTCGTCATTTTATCGAAAAAAATTGTCTTTTACCCAATCAAAATCGATATTATAACTTTGGTCCCTGTGGTTTTTACTGATAAAAAAACGAAAATGCTCTTACTTAACGAATTTTTTTTTTATTAACCTGGATATCCAATCTGCTATGCGAGCCGACTAATCCCAGCACCTGCTTTGCAGATAACCCGGAGTCACCGCATTTGAACCTCCGTAACCACAAGGGGATTTTATTCCTCCTAGGATTTGAACCTGGGACATCCTGATACTTTTAACCTTTGGAGCCAAGCTAAAACCAATCAGACACCACCCTTATGGTTAAAAAAAAAAATTAACGGCCGTTAGAAACGACAAGTGTTGTTTTCAACAACCCACAAGGACCAAATTTGTACTTTACTCTTTTAAATATTATATCGATCTTAATTTTACCACAAAATAACGAAAATCCCTCAAAAAAAAAAAACACACACACACACATTGACACCTTTAGTGTGTGTTCTACATTTTCTCTCTACCAAACACATTTTAAACTGTCCTTATATTTCTCCCACAGTCTTTCATTCCAGTTTTACACCATTAAACTCAATTATATTGAAATATAAGCAATCACAACTCTGCAGATTCAACTAGCAAAACACCATACATTTGTGACAAATGAGACCTCAAACTAAACCGGACGTTGAAAACCCGACTGACCCCACCTGTCTTCTTGACGCGGATTACGGTTACGTCCCGTCGTTACCATCCGAACGTCAAGAAAATGAGCGACAACGACCGAGCAAATCGATTCTTGTTTTGGTATCTGCACTGTTGGCCATTGGGTTGTTGGTAGTTTTAATAGTTGGAAATGTGCACATTGAAACACAACCAGACAGTGATCCATTGGTGGAACGACTGAATCCAGTAGAACAAGGTGTTTCCGATAAGTCATTCAGCTTACCATCGTCGACGTCTTCGTCTGAATGGACGACTGAAATGTTGAGTTGGCAAGCACCTGCATTCCATTTCTATCCAGAGAAAAACTGGATGAACGGTAAAAATGTCATTTTGTTCTTTTTAATAAGACGGTTGTATTTGGTTTTAACGTTAAAAACCAACTTTAACAGTTCCATTAAGACACAACCTCTGAACCATTAAGACGTGAATCTTGTTTGTCCAAAAAAAAAACTTGCTTCTTAATGGGTTTAAAACTCTCTAAATGATTTTGTATCTTAGGTCTCTCTAAAAATTTAAGGGGATGTTTAGTAGTTTCTAAATAATTTGGTGCAAAATGATTAATCGGTCAGAATGATTAAAAGACTTTCGTGATATAGTGCAAAATGAAATATAATTATTGGGTAATTGTTCACAATGAAATTAGGGTGCTGAATGGTTAAGGGAGGCCCATGATACAAGATTCACCTCTTAACGATTCGGAGGTTGTCTCTTAATGGAACTATTAAGAGGTAAACAAACAACCCTTAAGAGGTGAATCTTGTTTGATAGAAAAGAAGTAGGCCTCTTAATGATTCTAAAACTCTCTGAATAATTTTGTATCTTGGGTCTCTCTAAAGCATTCAGCACCCTAATTTCATTGTAAATAATTACCAACCACACAATTATATTTCGTTTTGCACTATATCATGAGAGTCTCTTGATCATTTTGACCACTTAATCATTCTACACCAAACCTTTCAACAACTGTCAAACACCCGCTAAACACCCTAATTTCTAATTACCAAACAACCATATTTCATTTTATATTATATCATAAAAATTCTTTTAACCATTTAATTATTCTGTACCAAATCATACAATTGTTACTGCTTTTCACTTGTATACATCAAGACACTAATTTTTTTTTTATTTTTTAAATATTCCGTGGTGGTCGAACATTCTCTTGATGGTGCAATTTCTGGCTTCATATTCCTGTAGATCCAAATGGTAAGTTTAACACCCACCTAAATAACGAGTCAAATTTATTAAAGGGGCTTTGTGCTAGCGGTATGTGAGTCTTTGGTTTTCTAGGAGGTCAGGAGTTCAAACCTCACCAATGTGTGAGTTTATTTGTTCTATTTTATCGTATATAAATATTATATATTTCACAACGTTTTGTTGTGAAGTTTCAAGTGTAAAAAATGGGTCTCACGGGTCTTACGAAAACATACGGGTCTCACGTGATCCCAAGTCATAGAGATAAACAGAAAGTTGTTTGAACCTTTACCTACAAACCAAACATTTGAGGCAAATGTTTGTAGGGTTGGGTTCTTCTGAGGCCTGTCTGTTTTTATGAGACCACAAAAACTATACTATACTTTCACAATAAAATACTGTAAAGGTACAAAAAATATTTAACATTCACAGTGTTTTTTCTGTGAAAGTTGAGTGTTAGTTTATAATATCATAAGTCTCATGAAAACAGGTTGATCTCACGTGATCAGAAGTTTAAAACTGTATCTGTAATTATTATACACAGGTCCGGTTTACTACAAAGGTTGGTACCACTTATTTTACCAATATAGCCCTAAGGCTCCGGTCTGGGGTCTAATCGTTTGGGGTCATGCCGTTTCACGAGACATGGTTCGCTGGCGCCATCTTCCGATAGCCATGGACACGGACCAGTGGTACGACGTCAATGGCGTCTGGACGGGGTCCACCACCATTCTTCCAAACAACAAGCTTGTGGTTCTTTACACCGGTTCAACCAATGAATCGGTTCAGGTCCAAAACCTAGCTTATCCGGCCAACCCATCTGACCCCCTTCTTGTCCACTGGATCAAAGACCCAGAAAACCCGGTTCTTGTTCCACCACCGGGGATCGGAGTAAAAGACTTCCGTGACCCCACCACCGCCTGGCTCACCGCCGACGACAAGTGGCGGATGGTGATTGGTTCTAAAATTAATAAAACCGGAATTGCGTTATTGTATGATACTAAAGATTTCAAAAGTTATGAGCTTCAAAAGGAGTGGTTGCATGACGTCGCCGGCACCGGAATGTGGGAGTGTGTGGACTTTTATCCGGTGTCGGAAAAAGATTCCGGTCTTGATACCGGAGCTTACGGGCCGGATGTGAAGCATGTTTTGAAAGCTAGTATGGATGATGATCGATGTGATTATTATGCGATCGGAAAGTATGACCAAGTGGCCGGAAAATGGGTACCGGATGATCCAAAAATTGACGTCGGGATTGGTTTACGGTATGATTACGGGATTTACTATGCGTCGAAAACGTTTTATGATCAAAACCAGAAAAGACGGATTTTGTGGAGTTGGATTAAAGAGACCGATAGCGAGGCTTCGGATATTCAAAAGGGTTGGGCTTCTCTTATGGTATGTTTTCACATGACAAACACATATGTTTTACAGAAACAATCGTTCTATTTATGGGTAGAGGTTATGTCTGTAAGTCTTAAACCCTAGATCTGGGTCTGGGTGATATATATATATATATATATATATATATAATATGTATAGAGTTGGGTTCTAGTGAGAAGCGTAAAAATGGATCTCCACCATTCAATATGCATTAGGATGGGATGCACCGTATGAATCCCCGTATCAAGTGTGATTTATGAGTGCGTTTGAGATTAAAGGTGATCAAGCTCTAGATTCATTCTTACGCTTCTCACTTTAACTCTCCTTCTCACATGATCCTTCACCTATATGTATATATTTGTACAACTAATGCAACCCCATCCTAACCATCAATTAGTTCATTTACGATCAGTATTTGATGAGGTGGAAAAGGTAATTACAAATTATCAACTAAAAAAACTGAAAATAAAATAAAATAGACAATTTAGATTAGAGTTGTATTGGTTGTACAAATAGAATGAGTTGTATTTGAAACGTGCTACATATACATATACATATACATGTACATGTACATGTACATGTACATGTACATGTACATGTACATGTACATGTACATGTACATATACATATACATATAGGGAAGATCTTTTGTGAAGCAATCAGAGCTTGATGTTGGTTTCGAAACGATAAAGTAATTAATGCTAAAAAATCTTCCTAATCTTTTTCAAAATTATCCATTATTCATGATTGTTCATCTATGTTTATTTAGCATCATTATATATATATATATATATATACACACTTATATACTGGTTTTTTGTTTGGTTTATAAGTTGAAGCTATTTTCATCGTTAAAGTTGATTTCTTATGATTATGTTCGTTAAGTTATATCTGGTTTTCGTTCGTTTGTCGATATTTTTAGGCGATTCCACGAACAGTTGCGCTTGATCCAGCAACGGGTAGCAATTTGATTCAATGGCCGATTGAAGAGATAGATAAATTGCGATATGATCTTAAAATATTCGATGAGATTCAACTCGAGCCTGGCTCGCTTGTGCCACTCAGTGTCGGGCCAACATCTCAGGTACGCATTCAAAAACGCTTCTATCCATTAGTAGATCAACATGAAGAATATGGGGGTCAACCGCCCCTATCAGAACCTAAAAAAATTCCACCCTAAAACTTTTTGACCCAAACTTATTGTTCCGCCCCTCTATCGATAAATTTCTTCCGAGTCCTGCCCCCATCATAAAAAATCATGGATTCACCGTTACTTCTATCTTATGTAATGATAAATTGGCGATGAATTCCCTTGTTGACAGTTGGATATAATGGTTGAGTTTGAGCTTGGCAAGAAGGTTGCCAATAGATTACGGGTAGGAGCCGCCGTGCCATATAACTGTGGTGGTCACGGAGGAGCCGGCATGAGAGGCGCTTTAGGGCCGTTTGGTTTATTGGTTCTTGCGAACAAGAACCTCACCGAACACACGCCCGCTTACTTCTATATCGCCAAAGGCATCCGTGGCGATCTCGATATCTTATTTTGCATCGATCAATCAAGGTTTTGTTTCTCTTCTCTTTTTAAGATTATTCAGTACAAATGGATCATCTGCAACGATTGCAATTACTGTTTTGGGCTCACTATTGGTTAACATCGTTGTTAGATCTTCCATTGCAACGGATGTCGACAAGTCTATTTATGGTAGCACGGTCCCCGTCCTTGAAGACGAAAAATTGTCGATGAGGATTTTGGTAATTTTCTTTCTTAAGCCAATTTTGTTTTTGAAAATGACAACAAAATAGGCTTTTTAAGACGCCTAACTTCATCATACCAACTTATTAGAACACTATTATATGTATATATATATATATATGTACACACACAAACACATAGGGTTGGGTTCACGTGAGACCCAAGGTTTTTCGTGAGACCCGTATGACCAATTCTCAACCCTTGAACGATTGAACGTCTTCAAATACCATATAAAACTAAAAGATAAACATTGTAGGTGGATCATTCGATCGTTGAAGGTTATGCACAAGGTGGAAGAACATGCATCACTTCACGTATATATCCAACAGAAGCGATCAACGATGATGCTCAAGTGTTCTTATTCAATAATGCTACGGATATAAACGTAACAGCTTCCCTCAAGATATGGCAAATGGGTATGAGGTCAAAGAACGACAGTGGATGGGTTTGGCTCGGCCCGTCATTGATCTTACTTGTCGTCTTTGGGTTCGTGGTATGGACATGGCAAAATCAAAGAAAGAACAATCGGTGATAAGCCAACAAAGAGTTGGCTCAACCCAAACTTAGACCTTGAGCCCATCTAGTCTAGTGTCGGGCTAGGTCGAAAAAAGAACATCTACCCACAAATAATAATTTGTCAAGATTCATCAATAACAATATTCGTAATGAGAAGCCCATGGGCTCGAAGATGCACTCGAGGAAAAGCCCGTCCAAAAATGACGAAAAACGACAAGGTTTTATTTCGCATACAATAAAATAAGGCTATCTGGAATATGGGTAATGGCCTGTTTGGGCTTTTTTCGAGCCTAACAAGGGTCATGAGCTCAATTCATATTTGAATAGATCAATGTAGGGTTGGGTTTCTTTACTTCGGGCTGGGCGGCCCATTCCGACCCAGTAGTTGTATTCTTGTTGTCGGCTCACCGACACCAAGCAATGGAATATTGTAAATTAATTTTAAATAGCCACATCCTTCCATCAAAAATGTTATATTTTTCTATAAATTCTGAAAAAAAGTTATTGTTGGTGAATTCTGTAACTTATCATTTTGTCTCTCGACTTTTTGGTCAAACCCGATCCTCGTCCCGGATCAAGACCTAAATTTAGAAAATAAACAATATACTATATAAAATATATTGATTTTTATTAATATCGGGTACGGGGAAGAACGAGGGAAACGTTACCCTGCCCCGACCCCGACCCCAACCCCGGTTTGAGTCTAACGGGGATCCCCGACCCGGTCCCGTGACCCATTTTAGCGGGGAATCCCCGTCCCTGCTTGAAGGTCGGGGCAAATCACCATCACTAGTGGAGACCTGTATTTTTGGTAAACAATCGTAAAGTTTCCATATCAATTATGTCCATTCCTCTCGTTAGACCTTCTACAACAGTCATAGCTACGACCCAAACTCGATTGTTTCTATCTAATAAGTACTGAGTGAAAATTAATTGTTTCATAAATTTTCTGAATAATAAAACGATAAAACTGTATGAAATGTCTAAAAGAGCAGAAATAATATAAACAACAAATTCATTACACAATATTCAGTAACTTAAAATATATTTAAAATGGTCAAACATCATTGTCTGATTACAATCTTATAATTTATGCATTTGCTGGTAAATTATTTATTTTTTAACGAGACACGCAACAAAAAGTTCGTGGGAAAAAATAATTCAGGAAAATAAAATCATAGCTTAATGCATTAAGATCGGCTGGCAGACTTACCATGTAAAGCTCATCTCTTAGCATTAAGTAAATACACATAACTTGAACAAAGACCGTAACAAGAATACTCGAAAACCAGTTAATACAAATACGCGATACTTGAACATAGACCATAACAAGAATCGTTACTAACAAACACAAAACCTTAGGTCCCGTTTGGTTTGCTAGAATGGAATGGATTTGGGGGGATTTGGATTTCAAATCTATTCCAATCTCATGTTTGGTTTGTTGGATTGTTCGGATTTGAAATCCTATGATTTAATTGAAATTCTTCAAACATGAGATTTTGAAATCCTTTAGGGAGTGCTCGAGATCTCATGGGATTTCGTATGATTGTATGTGCATAAGGTTTTAAAAAATGTTAAAAACATTTATTTTTGTAATAATAGATTAATGAAAATGTAATTCAATTATTTTTATATTTCTTTTATGAATTAATATATAAATAATGAAATTCAATTCTATTACAAATCATACAAACCAAACACATTAATGATTTCAAATGCGTTCAAATCCAAATCCCTCTATGAAATCCAAATCACTCAAAAATAATCATGCAAACCAAACGAACCCTTAGGGGGTGTTTGGTTCGCAGAATGTTTCTGAAGGAATGAGATCTATCAAATGAATTAGAATAAAATGTTATCAGGTTTGACCAAATGTTTGGTAGACAGGAATGAAATTTAATCTGTCTAATAAATTGGAATTTGCTTGTTTGGTTTGCAACAGAATTGGTATGGAATGATGAAAAAAAGACAAAAACACCCTTTCTTTGATGTTTTTTTTATTTAATTACAAATCATATACAAAAATCAGAATTTCTGTTGTGGAAGCTTTTTTGTTCTTCAACACACACACACACACACACACACACACACACACATATATATATATATATACATCTTGTGAGATATATACAAAGCAGTACATGAAGCGATTTGTAGAATCACCAATCGATCGAGAAGATGAAAACAACAATCGGTGAAGAAGATGAAAGCAACAATCGAACAGGAGATACAAGATTTGAAACCCTAACCCCATCTTAACGCCTCATTTCCAAGATTCTATCATAAAAATCGACAACAAAGAATGCTCCAACAGAGAAAAAACGAAGAATGGACAAGAATTCCAAAGCAGAAATTGGAACTTCTTCTTCTCATGAATTTCTAGGGTTTCTTTTTCTTGTGAAACACGCGGCTCTTGCTGATCGATAAGCAGAAACTGGAAGCAAACATAAATCGTTAAGCAGAAACTAAAAGCAAACATAAATCAGTAAGCAGAAACTGGAAGCAAACAATACTCGATAAGCATAAATTAGAATTTAGCAGAAATCGATTCACACAATAAGCTAGCATTGAAGCAAGCAGTAATCGATCGATAATGAAACTGGAAGCATCATGAGGGTATTTTTGTCATTTATACAATTTTGGATGAAATGGATTTCAATTCCATCACTTTTACGAAGGAGTGGTGAAATCCTCAAATGAGAGAGAAAGTTTGAAATTCAATTCTATTCCATGAGTAACCAAACGTTGGAATAAAATTTGGTCATCGTAATTAATCATTCCATTTTCACCAGATTCCAACGTACCAAACGTCCCCTTAACTTTTTTTAAGTAAAACGTTACATCAATGATCTTTATGTTTTTTTATAGAAAACGTGTGCATAAAAAACCAAAAATGTCATGCCTATATATAACGATTAGTTGGTAAATAATAATTGCTTCAATAATTAAATATACTATATAAGATATTCTTAGACCAAACATCTACATATATACTATAAAATATTTATGATGAAAATGACATGTATTTTTTATNAAAAAAAAAAAAAGAAACCCCTATGGTCGGGTTTATTATATATGGACAACTTTAATTTATAAGAAGACGAAAGAGAATATAAGTTATATAATTTATTAATTAAAAAATATTATAAATATAAAATAAAAAATAAATAATAATTTTATAAATTATTTTAAAACTGTTTAAATGAAATATATCAGAATACAACAAAGTTTTTAATTACTGTATAATTGGTTTTTTAATCTCAGTTAAAATAACAAAATGTTCAATATATCTGTTTTACTTGATAAACAATTTTTTAGTTTATTAGAAATTAGCTGATTTTAACATGATATTTTATCATGTAATAAAAAATTACTGTATAACTTGACAAATTGATATCCATATCATATGTATACAAAATTTGTCGGTTTTCTGTCAAATTGTATATGAATTGAAATTAAATGTTAGTTAAATCTATATATTCATAGAAATGATATCACACAATTTTAATCGTATAAATAATCAAAAAATCCATTCCTTTTGTATATATTTTTTGATTAAGTTATATTAATTATAAAAAAATTATACTAAATATAAATTAAAAAAACGAACTTTATCGTATTTTGCTTTTTCCGATACTTTGAAATATTACAGAATGATAGAGTAAACTATAAATTCGGTTCTTAGGGTTTGTCAAAAATAACACTTTTCTTTCTTGCAGTTTTGAAATTACAAAGATAACTATCGTGGTTTGTAAAAACGTCCAGTTGGTTTCTTTCTGTAATGACTGTTAAAAAAATTGTGTTACACGAGAGGCATTTTTATCATTCTATCGGGTTTTTTTTTCTCTTTTACCCAATCAAAATCAAATTTTATGATTTTATTTCCTGTGGTTTTTGATTGGGTAAAAAGACAAAAAATCGATAAAATGACAAAAATGCACCTCATCTAACAAAATTTTTTATCGATATTAGAGAGAGGGACCAAATCCGCACATTCTTTGAAACCCTGATGGTTATCTTGTAATGCTTTGCTCTAACCGAAGCTATTGCATTGTTTGCCCAAAATAAAAGTCGAAGTTTAGACCACTCACTGTAATGCAGTATTCCACCTCTTGCTTGTTTTTGGTCTAAAGATGAAATTCTTAACGATGGTTGGAGAAAATGCCGAAGCCAAGGCTCATTCTCTCTCTTGCGTTAGTTCATCACAAAACCACTCATACCCAGTAATACAAGGCGACCCATCAAACATATATTTTCGGTTGTTAACAGGAAGAAAAAGCAAACTAATATTTAATAATTTTGTCATCATCCAATTGGTTTTCATCTGCTAACAGGGCGAGCAACGTAATTGAGTCCGGGGGGCAGACAACGTGAGACAGAGCCCAAAAATGCAGAGACGAAAAAGTGCTATTTTTGACAAACTACAGAGACCAAATTGTAATTTACTCTAAATTTTATAATACTTGAATTTTTTATTTTCAAAATATTATTATAAAAAATAGCACCTATGTGTGTTAATGAAGTAAAGTATGCATAACAGACACGCAAAGAAAGATTACGACAACATTAATATTAAGACATAGATTAACGTTGTCAGGTGTACGATATCTTTTATCGTCTTATAAATACTAAAATGCGCATAATGATGGCATTTTGAACTGGCCTTTAGCTGTCACCCACACCTCCTTTGCTTTTTCCACATTTTCAATTTCAGTCCCTAAACTATATGCTTATTGAACATTTCTTTAAAAAATACAGTTATTGTTTTCAAAACAAGTATAATTGCATTTTGTGAAAATGCAAAAAAGGAAAAAAAAAAACTTTATGTATTGTAATTTGTATAGATAAATAGTTTTGAATGAACAAAACCAAGTAAGAGGTCGTTTATCAACGACTTACTCGGTAAGAGCTTAATGATAAAGGTTACCACCCTCGCTATATTATTGGATGACATTCTCGGCCATTAAAATGGAATGTTGGTAGTGTGTTTAATTTCGATAAGATGATGTAAATTTTGAATTAATATTTTTCATAACAGATTTAAAAACGAAAATTGTTGGTAAAATATCTACTTATTTCTATAAAATAAAAATGATTTTATACTTTCATTCATTTACCTCATAGTAGTAAATTTTGATAAGATAAATTAAAAAAAATATTGTTGTCAGAATTTGGAAAAAATAAAGTTATAGGACTGAAAGTGTCAATATTCTTAACTTGATGGTGTAAGAATGTAACTTCATCTTTGCCGTTACATTTGCTATATCCCCACCCAAAATTGCTACAAACACTCTTTTTCTTCCATGCCAGCAAAGACCCGACCAAAAGAAAACCCTTTTCCTCTGCATTTTAATAAAAATTGTTAAATTGCATTAAAATAACATATTTTTAAAACTTTAACTTGATTTTTATTTTAGATTACGTAATTTTAAAATTTTTATTTTGGTATCTAAAATATAAAATTTTAAATATTTAAGTATCCAGATAATCGGTTGAAATATTAACTGGTTATTATGCTGATGTAGCGAGTGATGTGGTATTCAACTCACTATTATTTGCTGATATGGTTAGTGATATGAATTTTTTAATCTAAAATTAGTCTTTTTTTAATCTAAAATTAGTTTTCAACCGGTTACCCGAGTACTTAAATGTTTAAAACTTTACATCTTAAATACTAAAATTGAAGTGTTGAAAGTACGTTATACAAAATAAGAATCAAGTTAAAGTACGTTACTTTTTCATACAATTTATTCTAATAAAATATATTTCTTTAATAAATATTTTGACAAAAACATAGTAATAAAAGCTAAATTACAGAAAATAAATTTTTTTTATTATTTAATAGATTTTTTTTACAATAATTCATTTAAAAAAAAAACCACCTTTGACTTAAATGTTCAAATTTTTATGAATTAATATTTAAAAAAAATGGTTTCTTAATTAATTATGGCAATTATATTTTTTTTAATTGTTTAATAAATATTAATATTATTTAACTACAAAAATTTATTGGATATTGTTATTTCAATTTATTTTCGTATATAATATTTATATAGAACAAATGTTTACATATATTTTTCACTGTAACAAGGTTTAAGCCTATGATTTTCTATAAAACCAGACTCTGTTGATAATCCAGATATCGCTAGTTTAAATAACCTCTTGATTATTTGAACCTTTTACCTGAAATCAAAATATCAAAAATGTAAGAATTATAAAAAAAATCTGCAAAAGAAATCGAAATGTAGTAAAGTTTGATTTAATTCTTATTTCATGTATCAGATATATTTTTTTCTCAATCAATATAAAAATATTTTGAATTTTTTTTATGATGTACCAATTTTGACCAGTAACTTGCTGATCTTGTAACTTTTGATGACGTTGATACCCGTTAATGAAAAGTTCATAAATCAAAATAGACAATAAACTTGACATCCACGTCATCAGATGTTACGAAACTATCTGTCAAAATAGATAAAAATTAAAAAATATATATATAATTTGTTACATTAAATATAAATTCTGAAATTTTATTATTTGCTTGGGAAGAACATTATATTAAATTGAAACTAAAGAAAATTTTAAGGAAAAAATGGCACAAATAACCCTTTCAATCGATCAAATTTACCTCTTCACTTGCGAGGGGTAAAAAAGTCATCAAGTCCGTAAATAACCATTCCTCAACTTGCGAGGGGGTAAAAAAACCAGTTATGTGTAAGGTGGACATGCATCTGAGGTGGTTCTGTAACTGAAGTTTGAATGAGAGTTTCACTGTTGAGTCCATGAGAAGTAATCCCATGAGAGTTCCGCAAGTGGACATGTATCATTTAACTTATCAACGCCCTCCGTAAGTTACAGAATGATTACTTATGCAGATGGTGACTTTTTTTAAAATCTTGACAGATAAGTGACTAAGTAATAAACTTGATCAGCTGAAATAACTGTTTATGCCATTTTCCCAAAATTTTTATTACATTTTAACACTCTTTTTATTTTAAATAGAATCAAGACGAATTCATTTAAAATTTAAATAATATGGGAAAAATTGCATGAAAAAATAACATACTTCAAATTTATTTCTATTTTCGGCAAAGTACTTCAAAATTTTCATTTTGGTATTCAAGATGTAAAGCTTTAAACATTTAAGTACCCGGTTAAAGACTAATTTTAGATTAAAAAAATTCCATGTCACTAACCACGTCAGCAAATAATACTGAGTTGGATACCACATTACTTGCCACATCAGCATGATAACCTATTAATACTTTAACCTGTTATCTGGATACTTAAATATTTAAAACTTACATCTTAGATATTAAAATAAAATTTTTAAAATTATGTTACCAAAAATATGAATCAAGTTTAGGTAATTTGTCACTAATATATATGGCTCAAAAACTAAAAAATATGATTAGAAATGATTACAAAAGAGCCGTTTGTTCTTTGTCCCCCACACAAACACTTTTCATCTCTCTAAATTTCTCCACTTTCTCTCTCTCGAATTGATATGTAAAACCCACAAAAACAAGTACCCAAATTCCCCTTTGATTCCGTCTTTCTTTTTTAAGAGCAACAGAAAACCTTCAAAAGTTCATGGCTACTTCTTCTACCTTTCTTTTCTGTCTCTTTTTCATCTACATTTCCTGTTCTACATTTACTTCCGCTGAAGATCCAACTGTTTCCTACAAGTTCGAAATTTCTTACATTACTGCTTCACCGCTTGGAATCCCGCAACAGGTAGATTATGTTTTTACTTTTTTTATGTTTTATCTTACGATTGCAGTTCAGTTCCTACGATTTCCCCCAATATGGTTTCGTTGAATTTGAAGGTTGCTGATTCTGATTTCGATCGCATTTTGTGTTTTTCGAATTAGGTTTTGCTTAATGGTGATCGAGTGATTGATGGATAAGTGTTAGATTAGTATTCTTTGCTAAATTTCTGTTATGGATTGAATTGGGTTTGTTTTTGATTTTTGGGGATTTTAGCTTCAGATCTGCGATTGTGTTTAGAATTACAAGAACTGAGTTCTGATTTAGATTTCTTTATGAGGGAAATTAGACAAAATAGCCAGCAGAAAGTTGAATCCTTACGCAGAAAATTGAATCGTTATGCAGAAATTTGAATCCTTATGCAGAAATTTGAATCTTTACGTAGAAAAGGTTTTTGCGTGAGGTTTGTTTTTAGTTTTTAAGTTTGGCCAGAATGAATACTTGTGCGTAGCGCGAAACCAGAAGGGTGGTGCCCGATTGGTTTGAGTTTGGACTCCAAAGTTCAAAAGTGCCCCAATGTCCCAAGTTCGAATCCAAGGAGGAATAAAAATCCCCTTGTGACCATGGAGGTTCAAATGCGATGACTCCAGGCTACCCGCGAAGCAAGTGGTCAACCTGGGATTAGTCGGCTAAGAAAAAGTATTTCTATGTAAACTATAGCTGTTCGGGGAAGTGGGTTCCTAAACATGGCTAAAAAGTGAATCGACTTTGATGGATTGACTATTTTTGTCAAATTTCAGTCTTAATGAGCATTGCTATGAATTTGATCTTGTAGGTTATTGCTATAAATGGAAAGTTTCCGGGCCCTACGATAAATTCAACTACTAACAACAACGTTATTGTGAATGTGAGGAACAAATTAGATGAAAGCCTTCTCATTACTTGGTAAGATTTACCCTAAATTTCTTATACTTGCACCATTTTAGATATTAGAAAGGGAAATTACTAGAAATAGCCATTTTCAGACTTTGGATTCATCTCTTAGCCATTTATCTCCCCAAATTTCAAAACTATCACTATCTCCGCAAAGTGGCACCTCCTCAATTTACGAAGGGGTCAAAATGTAAAATTTCTGAACATGGTCCGCAATTGCAGGAACCAAATCTGTAAATTAGATAAAGGTCCACAAGTGGCACTTCTGCAACCAGTCGAAGTGTTGGGACCAATTTATGGATTTGGTCCCTGTACTTGTGGATTATGTTTAATTTTTTTTTACTTTGACCCATCTTAAGTTGAGGAGTTGCTACTTGTGGAGGTGGTATTAAATTTTAGAAATTGGGAGAGAAATGGCTAAGAGATGAATTCGAAGCGTGAACATGACTATTTTCTATTGATTTCCCTATGAGAAATTGACCTTTTCATGGCTTCCAAATGAAGTTTTGAATGACATTGAATGATGTATGGTTGAAACAGGGCTGGAATACAGCAAAAGAGGAGTTCTTGGCAAGATGGTGTTCTTGGAACCAATTGTCCAATTCCCCCAAAATGGAATTGGACTTATAACTTTCAAGTTAAGGATCAAATCGGGAGCTACTTTTACTTCCCATCACTCAATTTTCAAAGAGCTTCAGGTGGTTTTGGTAGCTTTATTATCAACCCAAGGTCCGTAATTCCTATTCCGTTTGGTACCCCAGCTGGCGATATTACAATCTTGATTGGTGATTGGTACATAAGGAACCACACTGTAAGTGTTCGATGAAATGTCACAGTGAAGATTTTTTCATAATTTATCTTTGTGTAATGCTTTTTTTTCGGGGTTTGTAGGCTTTAAGACGGGCACTTGATGCTGGCCGTGATCTTGGAATGCCCGATGGCGTTCTTATCAATGGGAAAGGGCCATATAGATATAATGATACTCTTGTTCCCGATGGAATTGATCACGAAACCATCAATGTTGAACCAGGTAAGTTAATGCACAAATCATACGTTTATTGGGGCATAATCAATTGAGAATCTCAAAAAGATCGATAACCATGAGAACCAGTGAATCAAATGTGTTCCTTCACATTGTGAAACAAAAAATATACATAAAAAAGTTTCACATTGTGAAACAATGCCTTAAAATCGCATCTGTTGATGATAAAGAATCATGTGAAACAAAACATTGAGATTGGTTCTCACAGGTTTGTAACCTTATTTGTTATGGGTTCTAAAAAGCTATCGAATTTTATATTGGGCAGGCAAAACTTATCGTATTCGTGTTAGTAATGTTGGTGTATCGACTAGCTTAAACTTCAGAATTCAGAACCATAACTTGCTTTTAGCGGAAACGGAGGGATCGTATACAGTTCAACAAAACTATACTAGTTTAGATATACATGTTGGACAAACATACTCGTTTTTAATCACCATGGATCAGAACGCGAGTAGCGATTACTACATCGTTGCTAGTGCAAGATTCGTAAACGAGTCGATCTGGCAACGAGTTATGGGTGTCGGAGTCTTGCATTACTCGAATTCCAAAGGAAAGGCTTCCGGTCCCCTTCCTGAACCCCCTCAAGACCAGTTTGACAATACTTTCTCAATGAACCAAGCAAGGTCCATAAGGTAGGTTCGCTTTTTTTCTAGTTGCATTTCAATAAGTTGAAGGGTTTTTTTTCACCTTTTTTCAATTATGCCCCTAATTTTTTTTTCAATTAATTTTTTAACATGTCTTTTTAGGTCATTTTACACGAGAAATTGAATGAAATAGCCAATTACATCAACCAAATTCACTTTTTAGCCAATTTCAAAGACTTCCCAAAATTGCCCGTCTTTAGGCGGACGCTTTACGCATTTGCTTAAAGACTGATTTATGGAAAAAAAAATCCTTGAGCGAAAATCTGAATTCTTACGCAAAAATCTGAATCTTTACGCAAGAAGATATTTTTAGCCACTTTTCAAAGCCTCTTCCCAGAACAGTTCATCTTTTAAACAGATGCATATGCATTTGCCTACGGATTCTTACGAGATTTTTTGCAGGGATTCTTACGAGATTTTTTGAATTCTTGACGCAAGAAAATCTTTGTTTTTCTTCTGAAAATTGAGTTTACACAACTGTATAAATCCAGCTAAAATGGAATTCAATTGAAAAAGTGGCTAAAAGTAAAGTTGGTTGGGGAGATCGACTAGTTTTATATTGTCATCTAGTTTACAAGCTAGATTTTACCCGACATGACTAGCTTTTCGGTTAACAACTAGCCTATTAGCCAATAGCTATCTTATAAGCTAGTTTTCCAAATTAACTACTAAAATCTTGTGGTAAAATTCATTCAGGTGGAACATCTCGGCTAGTGGGGCGCGTCCAAATCCGCAAGGTTCGTTTAAATATGGTTCGATAAATGTGACCGAAGTGTACATACTGAAAAACAAACCACCTGTGACTATTGGTGGGAAACGAAGGGCAACGCTAAGTGGGATCTCGTTTGTGAATCCCACCACGCCAATAAGACTTGCCGACGAGTTTAAAGTTAAAGGTGCGTATAAACTCGATTTCCCTACCGAGCCACTTACGGGACCTTCTCGGATGGAGACATCAGTTATCAATGGAACGTACCGGGGATTTATGGAAGTGATATTACAAAACAACGAGACCAAGATGCATAGCTACCACATGGATGGATATGCCTTTTTCGTAGTCGGGTATGAGAAATTCTTCCGAGTCTTTTAGGGTTTCGTCTTGTTTCTTGAATCGAAAGTGTTTTTTGATCTTTCTATGCGTGTTAACGCATGTTATTTGATCTTAGAATGGGTTACGGAGAATGGACAAATGATAGCCGGGGGACGTACAATAAGTGGGATGGCATTGCTCGTACGACCACACAGGTATACACTTACAATTTGTTATTATTTGGTATATTTGTGCAACGGGTTTTCCCAGTATCATGTGAGAGGTAAATCGGATATAGTGCCAGTATCATGTGAGAGGTAAATCGGATATAGTGCCAGTATCATGTGAGAGGTAAATCGGATACACAACAATCTGTTAAGTGGCTGACATAAGAGACCAGTGCATACCCACAAAGATCCCTATTGTGGGTCCCACACTGCAACCGTCAGATTCGAACCTTCGCCGGTTTGTATAAGTATACCATACCATCTAGTAACCAACTGTGCTATTTGGTCTCTGAGTAAATTATTACATTTTTCGTCCCTGTGTTTTATTAAAAATTGCGACTTTTGTTCTTGCGGTTTACGTCCATATGGTTTGCAATTCGTTGCTATTTCCATCCATGAGGCTAACTTCTAACTTTAAGTATTATAGAAACAACAATGAATTGTGAACCCTGACGGTGGTGGTTTGTTTCCGATTCTGAACAAGTAGGTGATATGCATCCAATATCCGTGCCTGAACATGTGGTCAATATGCACGAGGAGATTGAAATTTCACGAAACAATCCCCACCGTCAGTGCCCATACTCTCTCTCTTGGCAATGAATTGTAAACGATAAGGATGGAAATTGTAGTTTCAAAAGCATAGGGACGGAAATAGAAATTTTTTAGTAAACGACAGGGACGGAAAACATAATGTACTCTTTAGTTGATATAAAGTGTATAATTTTACATTTTTAAAACTGTGCGCTTTTTAGTGTGGAAATTTATTTTGAGACAGAGGAAACAGTGTTTGATGAAATTTATCATTTAAATTTATACTAGGTTGCTGATCTAGCCTCGTATCTATCTATATATCGTGATAATGATATGTAATAGTGCTAAATTTCAGACAAAATCATAGCAAAGAAACCTGCAAGTTCAATCAAAACGTACAAATTTCACAAATTTTGGTTATGTTTGTGTTTCATAGGTTTATCCTGGGGCGTGGACGGCAGTATTGATCTCTCTTGATAACGTTGGAGTTTGGAATCTGAGAACGGAAAATCTTGATTCATGGTATCTTGGTCAAGAAACATATGTTAGGATCGTCAATCCGGAGAAGAACAACAAAACAGAGTTGCCCATCCCCGATAATGCTCTTTTCTGCGGTGCCCTCAGCCGAATGCAGAAGTATGTTCTCTTTCTTCTGCGAACCATCATTTATTTGCTAAACCCTTTTCTCAAAACCTTCATTAAAACAAAATCGGGTTTAGAGGACATCAAATATATCTAAATGTCCTAATACACTGATTTGTTCATAGGACAAAACAATTGTGCGTTCTATGTAAAAGTGTTACAATAAGTTGATAGAACGCTTTTTGTCCATCCTAACAAGTTTTAAGGACCCTTTTGAAATAAAGTGTCCTATTGGTCTTTTTATACGGCATTATTTGAAAAAAATTGCTTTGAGCGACAAGTTTTCTGTAAAAAGATGTGTTTATAAGACGCTGCTCACGTGCCTTATTAAAAGGCCAGTACGGTCTTAAAAAATTTGTTTATTAGGACATTCAGACATTTATTTGGCGTCCTATAAAGCTGATTTGCTGTAATGCTTTTTACAAGCTGGGTTCTTCATGGAAACAACCTCTTTACGACCATATCCGCATTTGATTCACTGAATTCGTTTAATTTGATTTGATTCTTAGAACATCTAGACATAGTTGGCGGCTAATGAATCTGATTCTGTTGTGATGCTTTTTTACAAGTTAGGTTCTTCACAAAAACAGTCTCTTTACGACCATATCCCGTGTGGGATTCACTCTCTTCGTTTTACTTGATTTGATTCTTAATCTTTTTGTCAATTTATATCTTTTTTTTGGGTTGATTTGAAGAAGTCAAACCAACGTCTTATAAAAAGATGTGTTCATAGGATATTTCTCAAATGTGTCTTGTAAAAAAGCTAACAAAAAGACCGTTGGGATGCTCAAATATGTCCTACCATACTTTTACATACAACACACAGTTGTTTGGTCCCATAAAACAGTTTATTAAGACATTTAAACGTCCTATAAAGATGATTTTGCTGTAATGCTTTTTACAAAACAACCTCTTTACGACCATATCCCGTGTGGGATTGACCGGATTCGTTCTATTTGATTTGATTATACAAGTTTTTTCGGGTTTATTTACGGATGTTTTCTTTTTCAGGCCACAAGACATATCTTCAGGATTAAGAGGGCATGGATCGATGGTGGTATTTGGTCTGCTAATGGCGATGTTGAGTGGTCTACTGCTCTAATTATTTAGTTTTATAATTAATTATGTTTTGAGGTAATTATTTTGTTTAAATTCCTTAGAAATTAATTAATATTCTGGGGATTAATTATTCCATCATTCTTTTATTTCACCTGATTTGATTGTGTAGTTGAGGAGGAGGAGGAGGAGGCTGTGTAAAACCTGTTTGTCTTAATGTATTTATAAGCAAGAATTCTGGTCTTAATTTCTTTATTTGTTTGTTGGCAATTATTATTTAGAGTAAATTACATAATTGGTTCATGTTGTTTGTTAAAAATTACTTTTTTTTTTTTCCGTTCGTGTCGTTTTGAAATTACAAGATAGTCATCGTGGTTTGTAAAAACGTTTGAATTTGGTCCGTTCATTTAACGTACGACTGCTAAAAAGTTCGGTTAAATGAGGGATGCTTTCGTTTTTATTGATTTTTTTGTCTTTTATCCAATCAAAAACTAGAAGGACCAAAATTTTAAAATCGATTTTGATGGGATAAAAGGTAAAAAAATTCGATAAAAGGATAGAAATACCTTTTATTTAATGGGACTAAATCCGAATGTTTTTACAAACCATGATGGTCATCTTGTAATTCTGAAAGCGTAGGGATGAAAAGTCTTATTTTTGACAAAACACAGGGTTATCTTGTAATTGGATAAAAGGTAAAAAAAAATCGATAAAAGGATAGAAATACCCTTTATTTAATGGGATTAAATCCGGACGTTTTTACAAACCACGTTGATCATCTTGTAATTCTAAAAGCGTAGGGATGAAAAGTTTTATTTCCGAACAAAACATAGGTGTAGTTTACTCTATTATTTATTATAAGATATTAATGACTTTGATTTATAAGTTTTGTAATATCATTAAAATAATTTTAAAAATAATACTAGTTGTGTATCATGTCATACAATATATATGATGTAAGATTTTATGGTAAATCGAGAAAGAAAAAATTAATGTAATTTCTTAGTAAAAATTATTTTTATATTTAAGTAAAATAAAAATTATAAATGATGGTTGAACATGTTTTGTTAATTTAAATATCTGATTAAAAGACCAGAAAAAATGTTTCGATATTCGTATTAAATTAAATTTAAAATAGATATATGATTTATTTTAATTTTATTGATAGGGTGCTTTTTCAGATACAAATAATGGTGAAGTATTACGTCGAATTAATAAGACTCGATAGTTAAATTGTATGGAACGTGTTTAATCATCCGTTTATTTAGTTTTTTGGAGTTCAAAGAGTTTCAAGAAAGTGTACACATATGTTGTTATTACTTATAAACTTGAAGTTTACTGGATTATATATATATATATATATATATATATATATATTATTAAGGTCACAAGTGTCATTTGTTTAACTAAAAAGTGTAATAATTACATGATCCTAAAACTATGCGTCATTTTCATCATATACATTTATTTTTTGTAACAAAGAAAATAATATCTTGTAGGGAAGCCTGTGTGTAGCTCAGTTGACAAATGGGTGATACGATTTTGCACAAATGCAAGAAAGATCCCGGGTTCAAAGCACGCCCTTCCCGCTAACATCAACTGTTGAGTGAACCAAAAGATATCCTCTCACATTGGTGTCATTGGAGACGTGTTTCAATTCGTGTGAAACCGGTCGAGGTTGTCGATATTCAACATTTTGCCCAAATATCTCGTAGTGAAGCTTAGAAATGATGGAGTTTGTAGCCAAAATCATACAATTATATATATTTACCAAATATGTATAGCTAGAAATTATGTAAAGCAAATGAAAATGGAAGCAAATTGCTTGCAGTTTACTCATTTCTTTTTTCAAGTGGACAACATACAACTTGATCGATCTTCACAAACCCTAGGAATTGATATTAATTACTAAATTATGAAGAAAAAAAAAACACCAACTGCTACATGATATTATGAGTTCTTCACATGGACCTGTGGCCCTCCAGGTGGTATCAATTATTTCATCTTAAATCCAGTGGCTTAGCTACAAAATTGTAACATATACATATATAAACTATACATATATATATATATATATATATATCAGAGCTTCGACCACGATATTATTGACGGACAAAATCCAATCACCGATACGCGATAACTCACCGACAAACTTATAGGTATTCGAGAGGACCCATTTGAAGAAGTTTTTTGGCCGCCCCCACTAGTAGCAAGGTCTTCGAGAGGGGTCATTTGAAGAGAGGGGCTCGTTCGGGTATGGGGGAGGCATTGAGCAGCGAGTCGCGAGAATTCATTCCCGGAAGGCGGCTAGAGCCACAATAAGTTTTCAAATATAATGGATCTTGATTAGGTTTTTATAGATTTTTTGTAATATATTAGTTATTGTTAATTAGTGTGGGCTGCCATTGTTGAGCTGGTGTTAGAATGATATATAGTAGATTGGACGGCATTGTCACTGTAATTGTAGTTTGATAGCTGTATTTGTTAAAATCAGATAATGAAAATATTTGATTTACAAATGTTATGTTGTCGAAATTTTAAATAATTAGCAAACATGCTAGGTGGAGGAGTATGGTCCAGACCCTAATTAACATTTGTCCTCTACATGATCCACAATTGTGGGAGTAGAGTGTTGAAGGTTGGAAAAAAGGACGACCTCTTCTTTTCGACTTGTCGTTGATTTTCATCATCAACGGTTTACAAATCATACGTTATACGTTTAATATATATTTGTAGGGTAATAGAATTACAAGAAAAATTAGGAAAAAATGGAGGACATCTGCAGCAGCTACAGGCGCGGGAGGCCGAGCCGTAGATGGAGCGAGCATCCAAGCAAGGGGTGCACGCGGCCGTGCAGCACGGGCAGAGAGGACGACGCATTCTAGAGATGAGGATGTTAGTAGCTAAGACTATGTTGTATATTATTTTTTATTTGAATTTTTTTTTTGATTTTTCTTATTCCGTATTAATGCATTATATACTAGAAACATACGAATAATTTGAAGTATTTAAAGAAGCAAATATTACCTACGGTTACCGAGAAAGCATTCGTCAGCAAAGGCCGATGTACAAATTCGTCGGTAAAAATCCATTGTCGAAAATCCAGTCAGTAGATTGTCAGAAAGCCGTGATAAAAAGATTTAATTAGTTACTTAATTTACTAACACATTACCATGGTTATGTACATTTGTGACGCTGGAAGTCTTATTTTGTGCATTGTGTTACTTTCCTATACATGTATAGGGTCAAATTCAGGGGAAAACCTAAAAAAATTGAAAAACCGAGGAACAATCTGATAACTGTTCATCTGGACCGTATGCACATTTGCATACAAGTAATTTGTAAACAATTTGTTCGGCATGCTTAAATGCATAACATGTACACGTGCATAAAACCAAAAAAGAACTTCAATTACTTATATACACATGTGCATACGGTGCAAATGAACGCTTACTAGGTAGAGTGTTCTTCAGTTTTTTATTTTGTTTTTTAAGGTTTTCTCCTGAACCTCCATCTATATATATTGTTCTTTAGTTTTTTATATGTTCTTTACCATGACTGAGTGGGAAAGCTAAAATTTCAATGATTATCAACCATATACATTTGACTTCATTTCGAAGTTGTAAAGTTCATTATATATATATATATATATATATATATATATATATATATATATATATATATATATATAGAG